GAATTGTGGCATTTTATCATATCATTTGAACTGCCCAAAAAGCCATCTTAAAAACCATCAATAGTGATTCCAGAGATACAATAGTCATGCACCCTTCTGCAATCTCAGATTCCTCTTTGTTGTTGCTTCTGTTTCCGGTCTGGATTAAAGGGTATGCCCATGCATTCCCCAAATGTAACCTCAAACATGTCCCAGTGTCCCAGCACTATTTTATTATTTTACCTTATTCTGAGAAGTAATTTCCTATCAACATCAGCATGACCCTAGAACTACATCTCCCAAGAGCCATTTTCCTACATAGAAATCAATATATGTATGTGGAGTGGGACAGTGGGACAGAGAGGGATGGGAATAGGAGACATTCTGTAATTCAGCAGGCTGGGCTCACAAAGCTGAAGGGGATTTTTGTTCAGCAAAGGTGCTCTGTTGTCATCCCAAAAGGAAAGTTAGGAGCACAGTGGACATTTGGTGAATCAACAGATCATTTTATGTTTTTGCAGTGTTTTTTTACCCTTTCACTGCCACTGTCATAAAGCATACAGCAGAACAAAAACATTTCCAGCTGGCCAACTAAGTATGCCTTACATCAGCTGCATTCAGCCTTCTGCTATAAGCTCATGGTTGCTTTAGTGGCCATGAACCTTTAACAGCAAGGTCCCCTAACTCATGTGTTAATGAATAGCTGTTATCAGTGGCTGACAAGCCGATGATGACAGCCATTCATTGAAAATCAGCCCCCCTGTTCCCTACCGCACTGCCGCTACCACTGCTTTGTACTCTCTCCGCCTGCCACTCGATCCTCCCTTCTGGGAACTGGCAATCTGCTCCCCTGCATGTCTCCCTGTGTCCCCTCTGATTCCTGTTCCTCTCCCACACCTCTTTGGCAGAAACAGCAGACATTAGGGGGGACACAAATTGGAGCATACTGTTGGCATCCAGGGAGAGGAGTAATGTGCAGATGGGGAGGATACAATGCCATGCAGGGCGGATTTGAATCTGTAAATATGTGTAACATTTACAGATCATTCCCTTTACTGAATAAACACCAGAGTGATTAGTACTGATCGGGTGTTTATTCATAACTGAGGAGATAGTAAATGTTTACTGTACAGATCACTTCTCTTTCATTCATGACTGGGGAGATAGTAAACATACTATCTCCTCAGCCTGTGAATGGACAAGAAGCCTCTGTACTGAGCACTTCCTGTTCAGTGAGTGCTGGGGCACTGGAGAAGGAGATTCAGAACTCTTGGTCTTCAAACTCTTTTTTTTATTTCAAAAGGGAAATATCACAGGTCTGTTTAGACCCCTGATATTTCCCCAATAGTAATGTAAAATAATAATAATAATAAAACTAATTATGAATACATTTAAAAAATTGTCAAAAAACATCAGCAAATAAATAAAACACCCCCATATACACATAACATACATATGCTGTAATAACAGCAGCACATGGCAAAGCATTGCAACAGATTGCGAATAAATAAATACGTTTTATGACGCACACAACACACAACAATGCAGCGCACTGCAGATCAGATGTTACCACAGCACATAGGTGTAAGGCCAACATCTAGATTTTTAATTTGCTTATTTACAGGTTTGCGCACCTTTTTTTATTGTTTCACAAAAAGGTATAAAATGTATGCATATTTATTATTTAAATACACTTGTATCTTTTAGAATTAGTAGGAATCTTGTACATTATTTTTTTTTGTGTGCTGATAACTGTATTTTTTATCAAAAATATTGTTTTGATAAACATTTGCACAAGTGTCACAGGACCTACAAAATTAGTAGTGCTATCTTTGTATTTTACTGGTCCTATGCTTTCAGAAAATGTATGGTTTGGTCAGCCTTTTACAAACTCTGAAAGCTGCAGTTGAAAGTTTAAATAAAATACTGAAAAATTGCATAAATGTTCGGGCCAGCTGAGGTTAAAAGTGGTGCTCAAGACCTTTAAGTGAAAGTATTAAAGGGATTTAAAAAATGGGGAATTGTGCATGTATTGCATTGATGTACTGAATGTGCTGTTTGGTTTAGATATATATCTAGATATCGATATATATCTAGATATATATAATAATCCATCTATAAATATATTTCAGAATGTATTTCTTAATAAAACTCTAGTTTTAGTTCACACAAGCATAACGCATTATATTTTTGTTACTGTGGGTTATTTGTTGATTTTAATATTTAAAAAAATGTAATCAAACAAATGTGCTGAATTGGCTGCATACATGCTATCTTACTAATTTTTGTGGTATTCTGTATATAAAAGCCAATTCACATGGATCATTACTAAGTTTTCTTTCCTATAAATAATACTACTTTCTGGCTGGCATTAACAGTGAGTTTCTATAAGGAGTCTATTGAGGAGGGCAGAAAAGGGAGCATTCCGGGTGAAGAGAAAATTAGTTAAAATACAGATTGCTGAGAAGCATGGTTTTTAATAGTTAAATATGTCTTGTGGAAAAATAATTTCATACTGATGTGATATTTATGAATGTAAATTGAGAATTGTGTTATCTATTGTGTTGTGAATATTAATATGGGAAATACCTTATCGTTTTGTGAACTGAGGTTTATATCTCGATTGTACAGTGTCGGTACACTTTTTCTTAGAACTCAGCATCACCCAAAAAATAATTAGCACGCTTGGGATAAAGCTTTCCTGATGTGCTTCTACTCCAATCTACCTCTTCAGAAGCTGATTATAGAAACATTATTATATACGTGAAAAGTTCCAGAGTTTCAGTTCTAAAGTTAAAATATGGAAGAATGAGGGAGATAAAAAGAGACTGACTCACCATCCTCATCATCCTAAGCCCTTAGGTTTATTCAAAAGCATGACGTGTATTAGGCAGCCATAGGCTGCCTTTCATGTTGTAAATAAGGCCCTTTCTTAACTGGGTTCATGAGCAATGAACCTGTGGCATACCTTCGGTTTTTAATGGTCATTGGTTCCCCTGGTTCTCTAAATTAATTAAAAAGAAAAAAAGAGAAGAAAAAAACCTTCCAATCCCCCTAAAGGGAACCAGACCAGGCCTAAAATATTTCTAAAATGAACAATAGTCTTTAAAGTGACACTAAGCTCAGGAGATAAATCTTAAAGATGCATTCAAGTACCTTTAACTATTAACAGAAATGTATCTTATTTGTGTGTCACTCAGCTGTAGATCCTCAAACCATCTCTGAATTTGTGCTGACACTGTCCTTTCTTCTGGAGGGTGGCTACTTTTGTTTTCCATGGCCTCTGTATGTGTTGTAAAGTATCCTCCACTCCACGCTTGCTTCTATGATGGACTACAATCTCAATACAAATAAGTAAACTAAATGTGAGTGTGTAGTCCATCACGGGAGTGAGCTTGGAGCGGTGGCAACTTTACAACACACACAGGGACTATGGGGAACAAAGGTAGCCACCCTCCAGAAGGAAGGACAGTGTCAGCATTAATTCAGAGATGATTTGAGGAGCTACAGCCGAGTGATGCAAAAATTATCTACATTTTTGTTAATAGTTAGGGCACTTAAATGCATGTTTAAGGTTTAACTCCTGAGTTTAGCGTCACTTTATGGCAGTCACAACTTGTGGCAGTTTTCTTATCAATCCTTTTGTCTCTCTGAAGCCCCTTTGATCTTAGGTCTAAAGTACACATGGGGTCTTGACTTTAGCCCAAGTAGAAATTAAGCCCCGCCTCCTCCTAGAGCTAAGCCCTGTCCCTTGATATTCAGCTGTCAAATGCTAGAGCCTCAGTGGCCAGGACCTAATAGGAAAATAGGGCTTAATAACTGAATAGGAAGGATAGGGCTTAATATTGACTTGAGCAGCAGTGAAAGCCCCCCCCCCACCCACAGGGTAGGCCTAGAACCTAAGATTTGAAGATTAGCCCAGGTAATTGATTGCAAGGTACATCGACATCAGCACTGTTGTAAACTTTGACATGTTTAGATCAGCTAGATCAGGATTACTTTAGCATAATAACATGTTCTGTGGTGCGTAAAACTTTACTAAGGCTCCCACAGCATCAAGTCATTTGACTACATGCCTAGGCATTTGGAGCCTTAAACTCAGCCGAAGGGGAGAATCAGAATCAGATAGAGCCACTGATTGGCTAGCTCTTCCTTAAAGTCCATTTCAAAGTCTCATCAGTGAAATTATTTAACCAGATTTCTAGGCATATGGTCATGTGACTAACCAGTGTGGCAGCCCAAAGCAGCTTTTTTCCTCACACAGGTAATTGATACTAGTTTTAATGGGGGACAGGGTAATTAGGATTTCGTGGGCTTGTATTTCTACTCTAGATTTGCTTTGACTTCCTGCTTAGTAATCCCATATAAGAAAATTTTCTGTTTTCACTTGTGGCCTCATTTAACTTAAAATTTCTTAAAACAAAGGGGTACACAAAACATTAAGCACAATTGCCACTAACTTTCTCTATGGTTACTAGAAATGTTATATATATATATATATA